AATCTAGAGCTTTAGATAATTCATTATTTCGTCAAAAGTCCACATGGGCAGGTCCAATTACTTTACAACCCAATTGAAAAGACGAATTATTCTTCTCTCCTCTGTTATCACAATACAATCATTAATATATTCACTTATATTACCCCCTGGGTTACCAAAGTTGTATACAGAGCTTTAAATAATTCTCTCTTACGTCAAAAGTCCACGCAGGTGGTTCAATTACTTTAGAACCCAAGTGACAAGACGAATTCTTCTTCTCTATCTCTGTTGTTATATTATAAGCTGTGAAACTCACTCCAAAATCACCACTATAACTGTTGGTTATCGAGAGCTTTAAATAATTGTCTTCTTTTCATCAAAACCCGCACAGGCGGGTTCAATTACTTTAGAAAATCCTTTGAAAAGACGAATTCTTCTTCTTTATCTCTGTTATTACAATACAAACTGTGAAATCACCCATTATGGATATTTAATATTGTTGTTACAAGAGAGCTAGATATTTCTAGATTTTTCTGTCATATGTTATAAATATATGCAGAAACTAGTGAAAGTAAAGTTAGACTGTGTGATTGTCCGTTTAGAATGAGAAGGACTTAGAAGGTAAAGGTTACATACCGCATATGACTAAAATTTTGTATTATTTTAGCTTTGTATCTGTGCCCACTCCCTGGAGGGGGGTGAACTCATCACAAGTGGTGTTGTACATACTTGTACAAATTAGTATGAGTTGAGATTATGGTATACTGCACTTGGATCCATTGTCTTATTGGAAAGTGTGATATAACATAATTCTTTCTGTCCTTATCTTTTGTGTACATGTATACAAAATCTTTCCAGCGCTATCAACCAGTGTGAACACAAACAATCTAGAAGATGACCAGTATGGTAAATAAATATTTACATCGATTATGAATGAAGATCTGTTTGACATATTTGCTTATGCTTGTTTTTCCTTTAAGGTCTGAGTTCAAAAGTATTTGTGCAGTACATTTCCAGAATCTGTGTTCTTGTAGATACTTATTTTGAACATCAGAAACACCAAAGGAAGAATGACACTGAATAATATGTGACTAGCTCAAAAGTAAAGTCACTCCACTCCAAAGCCTATTATCTATACTAACTTGACAAATCGCTTGTACGTGCTAAAACTGTCGAAATTCCGGTAAACAGGAAATGCTTACATTTCTACACTAAAAGAACAAGAATTATCTGGTATATTTCAAATACTGCATATTTACCAGCCTTATTGGGATTTGTTATAGACCACCAGGTCAGAATGTGGAAGTTAATGAGAAACTGTTTAATGAAATCAGAATGGTAGCTAAAAAAATTTATTATGGGAGATTTTAAATTTAGGGATATTGATTGGGCAAATTTCGAGTCTGACAGTGAGGGGATAGGGTTTTGGAAATTGTTCAGGATACTTTTATACACCAACTGGAGATGTAACCTGCAAGACAGGAAGCTATATTAGATTTATTATTAGCATCTGATGTGAATATGATAGAGTTGTGGTTGGTGAGCATTTAAGTACAAGCGACCACTTTAAAGGAACTTAAAGATTTTATTTGTGAACTGCTAGCTAATATTTTTATAGGTCATTGAGTGATGGAAGAGTATTAGAAGATTGGCTGATGTTAGTCCAATATTTAAAGGAGGTGATAAACATCATCCACGCATTTATAGGCCAGTTAGTCTTACATCAGTAGTCCGAAAGGTTTTGAAGAGCATAATTAAAGATGCATTGCAGAGTCACTTAAAGTAGTTGGATATAGTGTCAAAGAGCCAGTATGGTTTCACTAAGGGAAAGTCTTGTTAAACAAATCTTCTGACATTCTTTAAGGATGTTACTGCAAAAGTTGATGAAGGAATTACTGTGGATTTGGTTTACCTTGATTTTCAGAAAGCATTTGATAAGGTGCCTTACAAAAAACTTGTTACAAAATCAAATCTGTGGGTGTGGGGGAAATGTTATTAAATTGGATAGAAAATTGGCTGGAGAATAGAATGCAGAGTGTAGTAACAAATAAAGTTGGATCTGAGTGGATCACAGGTACAAGTGGTGTTCCTCAGGACTCTGTGTTAGGTCCTCTGCTGTTTATGATTTATATTAATGATATTGACTCTGGAATGAGTAACAAAACTTTGAATTTTGCAGATTACATTAAAATTTTTGGGGTGGCTAACTGTATCAAAGATGCTGCAGACTTACAGGGAGATTTAGATCATTTGGCAGATGATGTTTTACTATCCAAAATCTAATGTGATGCATGTAGGTTTTCACAATTCAAATTATTGTTACAATTTAAATGGGAATACATTAAATACTGTAATTGAAAAAATGATCTGGTGTTGTGATCGAAAAATCACTTAAGTCATCTAAACAGCAATAAGGCTAATAGGGTTTTGGGTAGCATCTATAGAAATACTGAATACAAAACCAGGGATATTATTGTTTCACTGTATAGATCACTTGTAAGATCTCATTTAGATCACTGTATACAGTTTTGGGCTGCCTTCCTCAAGAAGGGCATTGAATTGTTAAAGAAGGTTCAGAGAAGAGCCACTAGGATGATATCTGGGATGGTGGGACTATCCTATGAGAAGAGACTAAAATCTCTAAACTTGTTAGCGCTGGAGAGGATAAAAGTCAGAGGGGATTTGATTGATGTGTTTAAGATTATTAAGGGTATTGATAATATAGATCCATCGCACTTT